TGGGCAAAACCAAAGTTATAGAAAAATTATGTTATATTTTCTATAACCAAAGTTATAGAAAAATTATGTTATATTTTCTATAACCAAAGTTATAGAAAAATTATGTTATATTTTCTATAACCAAAGTTATAAAAAAAAGCAACAGTTGTTTTTTACTTCCACAAGGAACTTCAGAGAAATGGTCTCAAACTCATTAGATTAGTCAAGGAACTTCAAATAAATTATATGTATATATAATTATATATATAATTTTAGATTACATAATTATATGAGAGAGAGAGAGAGAGAGAGAGAGAGAGATATTTTGCCTTATACGAGTATGGGACCTAACAAGGCCAAAATCAGCAAGGTCAGCAGGATGGAGTTCCAGGAAAAAAGTAGATGCTGCAGTATCAAGTCCAAAGCAGTCTGGAGGCAGAATTATTTTTTTCCAAGAGACTCCAGTCATTTATCATAAGGCCTTCTACTGAAAGGTAACCCCCTTCACCCAAATTCTAATTGAAATGTTAATTACTTCTGAATAAGACAACAGCAACATCAAGGTTTTGTTAAACACCTACCTGAGAGATAATGCCTAGCTGAGTTGACACATAAAATTACTCATCACACTCAACATAAGGAAGAAGACATTTAAAATAATTATGTGTGAAGAGCTTTGGCCCCAGAAAATGCCCTAACATTTGTTTTATATGACATAGTCCATCACTTTCTGCAAGGTAGTGTTATGTGCAAAGACCAAACCAGACCCTTCAAGGATGTACCTTCTGGTAATAAGGAAAGCTGTGACTTAACATGACCTTTCAGAAGAGCCTGCTGCTGTCACTGTGTCTGTAGCTCCTAGTGAGTTACTTTTTTTCTTCTCATGGTCTTACTAAATGGATGAACTCATGTTAATATTAACAGGAATGCCACGGGTACTGTTCCATGATCATACACAGACCACTAACTTTATGGCATTACTTGTGTAAAGTGTTAGACATAAAAGATGACAAGGGAGACCTTCACTCAGCCTTCAGGAATCCCTGCTTTCATGAAGCTCAAACGCAAAACAGATTTTTTTACCACAGGCTATGCATTAGAATCATGTGAAGTCCTTAAAAAATACTAATGCCTGGACCTCACCACAAGTTACTCTGATTCAGTTAAGCTATTCACCTACCAGAGTATGAGTTGGTTCCTTGTGTAATTTCTTGTATGAAACTAATAACATGTGAACAATAGTTTATTACAATAGATTGTGAGGGGTGGGATGTAGCTCAGTGGTAAGCACTTGCCTACCATGTGTGAAGCCCTGGGTTCAATCTCCAGCATGGACAAAAAAAAGTAGATTGTACCTAGTACTACCATATTAAACGTCTAGGAGAAGAACCTGTGGGAATAGGGAGAAGAGAGCTGTTAAGTCTTCTTATGGGAATTAGGACCACTTCACCAGAGAGAACTGAGTTTTTAAATGTCTCAAGAACACAGAAGTATTGCAAATAATATAGCAACCAGAGGGCAATCATACAGTTTTAAAAATGGTTGTATATTTTCCTTTGTTCCTTGAAAATTAAGTGAAAATAAACAATTGTAGATATACTTGAATTTTTCATTATTCTCTTAGTCAATCTCATCAACACCTTTATTCTCCTGGAATTAAGCATTAATTTGAATTTGGTGTATATATTTCCAATTTATATTTTATACTTTTCTTTCATATGCGTATATTCATGAAGTGCTTAGGTGTTATTTTTTTCTTAATTTTTGTAAAGATATAATTGACAAATTTGTAAGAATTCATGGTATACAATGTGATGTTTTGACGTATGTATACATTGAGAAATGACTACCACAATGAAAGTAATCAACATATTTATCACTTCTCATATTTATCATTTATTATTTGATTGAAAACACTAAAATTTCTTTCAACAATTTTAAAATATACAGTACATTGTTATTATCTATAGTCATCATGCTGTATAACAGATCTCCAACAATGATTAGGTATTTTTGTACAGCTTTAAGTGATGTGAGTGGTGTTATACTTTGTTTTGCTCCTTATCCTTTTATTAGACAAGATTATTTTTTGAGATTTTTGAGAAATACTCATGCTTAGACATATGGCTAAAATTCATTAATTTTGATATTTGAACAATATTATATCCTGTGAGTATATTAATTTAATTGTTCATTCCCAGATTGACAGTTCAGTTTTTTGCAGATTTTCCTTATTACACAGTAACTGTGACCTTCCTGCTACATGTCTCTAAGTACATACATGCAAGTGTTTCTCTAGAATATCTTTCCTTAACCTGGTCTGCACATTCAAATAACCTGAGAAACATGAAAGAACACATGTGCATTTCAGCTTCCATATAAATGAAATAGTTCATGGTAAGCCAATGTTCTTATAACAAACAAATAGAAAAGCCAGCTGAATTACTAAAATCAAGTTTTAAAGTATGCAAAGACTACAAAAGTCATGAGAACTACAGGAAAAAGTTCATAGAATAGAACCTTTTTATCTTCTACTAAGTATCTGAGATTTGTGTTTTTTTCTAAGGGGATTTTGCCGAATCTGGCCAACAGCAAGTTGCTTGTGAATCAATAAACCAGGTCAGTTTTTAGTGGTCACAGGAAAATGAAGTGACAGATCTGAAGAAGTAGGGCAACTCAAGCACACAACCAGAACATTTCTCAAGACATTTGATTATTTCCAAAGATGTAATGGGAAAGAGGCTCAGAAATTAAGTAGAAATACCTCTGGAAAGCAGAATGGAACTCCCCACACCTCTCAAGTTTTAGAAGACAAAACTCCCCAGGATGAATGTAATCATTAAGTATTGTAAACATGTAATAAAAAATTAAAAATTAAAACTAATGAATTCAAGTGGCAGGATGTTGAAATCCTTGAAGAGAATGATGACTTTGCAACAGATTTCCCTAGCAAAGCTTCCCAATCAAAACTGCACCCAGATGTTGAGAATCTGGGTATTATCCCAGAGGATGTCTATGGGAGCTGATTATATCCACCCCTGTCAATTCTATCCCTGGATTTATAACCATCAGCAAGATATTTTTGAGAATTTTTTCACCAAAAAACCTGCTTAGGGAGGCATTACTTATAATAGCTTACAAACCGCGAAAATACAAAAACGTTTATCAACATTGGAACAGATAGATAAAATGTGGTTGGTATTTTTATACAACAACCACACAACAATAAGACCAAAAAACTTATAACTACTCAGCACCTAGTGCTGAAGAGAAAGAACAAAACAAAACGTCAGACACCTAAGGTATAACCTGTATGATCCAATTTGCATAAAGATGAAAACCATGGAAAAGTGACTTGTGCTCTTGAGTCGGGATAGCATCTGTTACACTTTAGGGGTAGTAAATATCAGGTACACAAAGGAGGTTTCCGGGGTGCAGATAATGTTTCCTTTTTGTTTCTGGGTGCTGATTACAGAGATATGTTCATTTTGTTAAAATTCACTGAACTAAATGCTTATGACTTGTGTACCATTTGTATGTGTACTATACTACAATAAAAATGTAAAAAATTAAGGTACAACAAAGCAAACAAAGAGGCCCCACTTCCAGGGATTTGGTTCTATCAGTCTTTTGAGGACAGGTTTAGCTACTAGCACTTTTCATAGATTTATTAAACAATTTTTTCCACTCATCATTGACTGTTTTTTTCTGATTTCTGCCTATTTTTCTCTTGGTCTATGTGCTGTTTTCTTATTATTTTATGGGCATTTATTATATGGGTAATCATGTGCCTTTTGTACTAATTTTAAACATCTTATTCTTGTCTATAATTGTCTTTCCATTTAAACTGTGTTTATTTAATCAGAAAGTTTTATTTAGATCAAATTTTCTGATATTTTTCTGTTATGAGCTTTGAATATTCTTAATATACAAATATCCTTCCCCATTCACCATTTCATAAAATATTTTACATCGCTAATGTTAAAGTTTTCTTTTTACATTTGAGTGTCTAATCCATCTAGAATTTATTCTATTGTACAGAAAAAAATTAATGTATTTTCTACACATAAGTCCATTGTCTGACTGCTAGTATAAATCAATCATTATTTTCCTTCATATTTTTATTCTAATTCTATCACATACAAAACTTCCATTTGTTTGTGTCTGTCTTGAGATTTCTATTCTCTTTGACTGGCTTACATGTATATTAAAATATCACTTTTCTGATTTATATGAATTTATCATATTTCCCCCACCATAGAAACATATACTTGTTATTTCTCCAAGTTTTATTAATTATTCATAGATTATTATCCCTTACATATGAATTTTGGAGTCAATTTTACTAGACCTACAAGAATTACTCCTGGGAGTTTAAATGAAATTTACTGGGTTTCTAAATTGATTTTGAGAGAAATTACACTTTTATAATACCAATATTCTAATCCAAAATAAATAAATAAAGCTTATAGATTAGTAAAATGAAAACATTTTGGTGAAGGAATTGAGCTTGTACAAGGGAGTTCATTTCACTCTTGCTTTTCGCTCCTAAGTTTATTAGGTCACAAAAGCTACATCCCTAAGCATAAGATTTCGGTCTGTGATTTAGCCCTGTAGTGGGAGAGCCTATCATTGGAAATTCTGGCAAGAACACAGAGAATCATTCCGATGATTTGGAGGGAAGAAGGTTGAAAAGTCCAAATGTATGCCACAACATTTGTATAATTTTATGTTTGTTGATATTATTATTGAAATATAAAGGCAGGGCCTACATCTCCGCTATTCCCCAGAGGGCAGAGGCAAAGACATTTGTCATCTAAATCAAATTTCCTGGAGCTAACTTATTGGTGGTAAATCTGAGGGATACACTAACATAGAACCTCCCTGTGTTTCGGAAAATAATGAAACACTCATTGACTATCTGAGTGCTTCGTCACAAGATTATCCTCTTCCACAGCCAGTTCTTCCAGGGTTCGATCTTCAACCCTGCCCAAGGGAAAACATGTTCAAGCCCACATCAATCACCTGCACTATATTATTTATTTATTTCCCACTGTAATATGTACACACAATTACCCAGTGGCTTCTTTCCCAACTATACTTCTGTTGGATTCACAACTTTCCCTAGAAAGAGAATGCTTCTGGTGTTTTTCTCCAAAATCATCAACAGAAAAGTTCTATCAAATCGGATAATAGGATGAAGGAGAGTGATTTCAGACTGATCCATGGATATGACTTCAGAGACAGTGACATCATTAACATCATCCGATCCCTTTTCACCAATGTGCAGCAGAGCCTTATGGGCAGCCTGTAGGGAGAAAAACACTATTGATCCCTGAAGAAATAGTAAAAATTTTAGCAAGGGTTTGGAAAGAAGAAAAGATAAAGAAAGTTTGAGCTACCCCTTTGCCTTACTGTTTTGATGCTGCTTAAATATGAAGGCTACTTGGCTAAGTAGCCTATGATTTTAGGGCTAGTTTTAGGGAAGTACTGTAGCTCATTCTCCATGGCCTTTTGCTTCCAGGAGTGACCTCTTAAACATCTCCCTTTTCCAGAACTGCATGTCACCAGAATTATTTCTGATCATTAAGTTTTTCCATTAGAATCATTTTAGAATGTGAGGGTCAAGGGTGGAAGAAATTCCACAGTGGCTTATTTGGGGCAGTGGCAATGACCTTTGCGAGACTGTGGTCTAGGAGGAGTCAGACTCCCTCTCTAGACATCAAATTCCTCATTGGTAAAATGAAAGGGGTGAATTATTTGTCTCTAAATGGTACTTCCAGATTGTATAGTCAAGGACCCTAATCCATCAACTTACATAGGAAAGTTTTAGACCATTGTCCTCTGTGAGTCCAGAAAAATCAGCCTTGTCAGCAAAAGCATCTTCAATGCCCATCTTTAAAAGCATGATTCTAAGGTCATGTGTAGCAGAAATGGAAAATTTTGGAACAAAAAGATTAACCCACCTGTGGGAAACAAAGAAGGTAAGACATGGCAAGTACGATAATAAGCTCATGATTCTCTCTGTCTCTCTGTCTCTTTTGCTGTCTGTCTGTCTCTCTCTTTTTCTCTTTCATAATGGCATTTTATTTGACTCTGCTCCTTTTCTGAATATTGATAATCATTGCTATGTAAATCAACACATGTTACAAAAACCACAGGAGTTATTCTAGAAGGAATGCACTCTGGTTCAGCCAGTGTTGGCTGTAACACTGAGAATATGGACATGTAACTCCTTTATTATCAAAAAGAAACATTCCTGTGGTGCTACCAAGGGTAGGAAGCCAATGGCAAGAAGGTCAATACATAGCATTGCTACTCCCAGCTCAGAATGATTGCCTACCCAACTCTTAATATCAAAATACTACCTGTCCCCAAAGTTCAAGATGATTGCTAGGAAGGCTTCAATTTATTAGCAGTATAACTTTGGAAACCTCATTTTATATTTCTAGGCTTGATTTTCTAATTTGAAAAATGCCAATGGTACTATACCATTTTCAGGATTGTAGATGTGCTTAGATGAAAGGCAATAAGTCTAGAGCAAAGGACCTGGTACATGGTATGTACTTTGTATACTCTAATAATAGTTACACAGCTGTTAGGCAGTTCAGGGAGATTCTTCTGCCTCTGAGTTTCTGCTGAATTCAATCCTACCTGCACTGGTATACCCACCTCTATCCTTCACATCCTTTAAATCATTTACCCCTTCTGCAGTAAGCGGTTCCATTTCTTCAGTGTCTTAGATGACATGGATGCTTCCACCCATTCCATCTGTCCCTTCTTGGGAAGGACAAAGAGAGCCAGGGCATTTTTATTGTAGTCCATTTGCAGCACTGTGCAGTTCAGTTCCATATCCACCAAGTAATGGTATTGTTCTACCTGATGCATCATGGGCACTTTCACTGTGATGATCTTATCCACTAAGAAGTTGGAACTGTCTTCTGTCTTGGATGGTTGAAAAGGATTTGCCCACTGTGCTTAAAATACAAAAAGAATAGAGTTGCTTCTTTAAAACTAGTATTAGGGCCACTGATAGTTTTTTCCATTAGTCACCTCCTATAGTAATTAAGACTACCACAGAGGTGTGTACTCTCAACCATTTTTACAAGTGAATAACTGAGGATCAGGGAAATACAGTCACTTGACAGATCTCCCAGCTAGCAGGTACCAGAGGCAGGGGGCACATCTAGGGCTGATGTACTCCAGTCTGTTCTCAAAACCACTATAGTTACACTGAGCTAAATCAGAGCCAGTCTCCTCTCCCATAAAAAATTTATAAGGATGTCCAAGACAAAAAGAAAATGAGAAAACCAATCTGTTCTACCATTTCCCTACCAAATGTTACTGACATATGCTGTAGAAGCAAGAGAAATAATTTGGGCACAGCACCAACAGAAAAGAGTCACATGATACTTGTCTTTACAAACATCAGTTTTAGACCTGGCTGAGGATACTAGCTTTGAAATGGATTAATTGTATGAATTTGGGTACTTGTGAGAGTTGGATGAGACAAAGTGTGTAAATTACACAAGTATTATAGTATTTGGTACATAGTGGGTATGTAATACATGATAAAATTATTGATGTAGCATGGCCAAATGTGCACAAGTGAGAGCTAAGAAATGCTTAGATATAAATATGTCTTCTTGTCAAGTACAAACTTGTCCTACCTCATCAAACATTTTGGAAACCATAATTCTTTAGCCAAATATGAGCAGGATTTTCATACCATTGTCACCCACATCTCTCTCTGAAAGTGTGCTTTCCCTAGAAATTTCCTGGACTCATTTACAGAGCCATATACCTTTTCTGGATTATCCAATATAATGCACAGCTATGTCCAGTGGAGTAGATCACTGTGATATAAGGGAAGCCTACTGATGCTTGTAAAAAAAAGACTATGAGCTCCTCCCAGAGCTCTACTAAAGTATCTGAAGTCTAGACTTGAAGCTGATGTCTTGTAGCCTTACCTTTAAAGTGAATATAGTTCACCAGGACCATGATGGCATTTAATTTGAGGTCATGGATTAGGTTCACAATTTTTCCTTTGGTTTGCTTCTCCACCTGACAGTTGATTGCTTGTTCAGCTGCAGAAACATTGGAGAAGTCTGTAGAAAAGACATCAGTCTCATACAGGGTCTTGACACCATCCAAGAATTTTGGCAATGGTTTCAGCTTCTTTCCAATGAAGAGGGCATTTCCTATTTGCAATTCCAGTTCTTTCTTTGGAAAATTGAGTGAACAGATCAGGTACTGGAAGCCCTGCTGTATCTCTGCCACTGAAGTATCTGTGAAGTTGAACCCCAAGGCTTCCAGGATCTGAGTTTGGGTGCTGGAGCCAGCTCCAAAGGAAAGCATGGCCAAAGCTGCAGAAATGCTTACAGGGGAAAAGAAGATGTTCTGATCTGGGATTTCCACAGCGAACTTTCTGTACAGGTTGAATGCAAAATCAGCATTGATGGATGACATTTTATAGAAAGTGTCATTTTGTTGAGGCAAATAGCAGGTAGGTACTTTGCCTTCAGAGCTGCTAGGTGGTGCACCTTTGGTTGTAGCGTGAAGCCCAAGTAAAAAAGTAATCAAATAGAGGAAGACTGACATTCTGGAATGAAGGCAATCTATAAGAGATGAAGAGAACCATTGGGGAAGCTTAATTGAACAAAACACTCTCTGATTCAGACATAAAAATCACCCACCTTGATCATTAAAACAATATCAAATGTTTGATGATGTGGCCACCAAAAAATGGGTGAAAATCTCATTTTCCTTAAAAAATGATGCCACATTTATTGGGGGCAGGAACTAGGATAAATGGCTTGCCAGAGCCACAGAAATAATGCCTTGGACTCTTACTAAGATGTAAAAACAACAAATGGAAATACATCGAATAAATTCAATTTATGGAAATTAAATCCCTTTTTATATTAACTAGATGCAACTTTTTGATAAAGGAAGAATATTTACTTAGAACTAGTACTCCTGCATATATTATCACATGGACATTAGAATTTTTGAGTATGAGTGTGCTAATTTTGCATTTTCATCAGATAACATCTCTGACATGAAAGCAGAAAATATTGTACTTTCCTTAACTAAAAGACAAAATAAGAAAACTTGTGTAAGATATTAGTAGTTGGAATTGGAGAAAAGTGTTTTACAGAGCCATGTCCAAAACCATGAACTGAAATTTGTATATTTTAAAAAGGCATGGAAGCCAAAGGAGTACTTTCAAACAATAAGAAAATGAGAGTGTATTATTATGTGTTTTACATCTCTCTTACCCTCCATTTCACAGTGATTTCTAAATTGTAAGAAACCTAAACACTATTCTTAATTCCATGCATGTCATTTTTTAAGTATTAGAGAAGCCAAAAAAGATATGATATGATATAAGCTTCTTTGATTCTGGAAGAGTACAAGGAAACAGAGTAAGGAAGTCAGCTGTGGAATCACCAATGACCGTGGACAAGTGGTTGGAAAGAAAACAAACATGAAGTCAAAACAAGGATCCTTCCTTAACCCTAAGTATCCTACTTTAATGATTTCATCCTTGGAGTTCAAATCCTACCTCATGAAACTCTTTCTTGATAGTCCATATTGTTCTCCTGAGTTCTCTATTTTTATTATTTTTCAAAAACTGGGGATTGAACCTAGGTTCTTCAACTGAGCAATATTCCCCCTGCTATTTATTTATTTATAGACAGAGCATACCAAGGTAACTAAGTTTCCCAGGCTGGGCTCAAATGTGCAATCTTCCCACTTCATTCTCCCAGAGTACTCCGATTGTAGGTATGCTGCATCACCCCCAATTTTCTTGTGTTCTAACCATCTACCCAGCTGCCTAATGGACACATCCATGAGGAAGGTCCCCTTATGCTTAAGTGTCAAGTCAGAAACTGCAAAGTTTAAACATAAGCCTATTATCTTCCCACCTCTCAAACATGCTCCTTCACCTTCATTCCACATATCTGGCTATTGCAGCACTGTCTGTGGAGAAGCTCAGGCCAGAACCCTGGGAGTTATCCAATGGCTTTGTTCATTCTCTTTCACCACTTCTAATGAATCATCATGCCCAGCGAATATCACCTGAATATTTCTGAAAACTTCACTCTTCTCTCCATCATTACTGCTACTGTCTTAGTTCATGGACAAAATTAACTACATTGCTCCTAGAAGGTCATACTGTCTCCTACTTTCTCCATTCCATTCTCCTTTCTTTCACTACTACATCTAAATCTCCTTATTATCACCTGAGTCCTCTTTCTATAAAAGTCATGAAGACTAGTTAGAAGTTGACCACAATTATCAGATGACCGCACTTATACCTTAGCCCCTCGACCTAGAAACTTGGAGCTCACAATTATATGGGATTTTCTCTTGCTGATACAGACATTCAAAGTTCCCAAAGAGAAAAAAAAAGTACTTACAGCACATGCCCAAGAAGCCACTTGCACTTCTCAGAAAGCGATACCTTTTTGTCTTTATAACATGCCCTCTATTGCAAAATCAGAGCACACTTAGTTACAAATTAACCCTCACATGAACCCTGGGATGATGTTTTCAAAGCTGATGCAGAGAACTAAGGCCAAGAAGATAAAAGCAAAACCAAAATGATAAGGTTTGAACTTTGGGTGACAACTTTGTCTAATAAATCCTTCATCATAAACAAAAGAGAAAGAAGATTGTCAGAATTGGAAGGATCCAGGTTTGTCCTAGAAAAAGTGTCTTGAACAGGCAGAATGACATCTATGAACAAAAGTGCCAAAAGGTGGCAGGAGAAATACAGTTATCACCATCAGAACCAAACAGTGCTGGATCTGGCAGCCTTTGAGGGAAAGGTAAACATAGCCAGAAACTGAATGATCCTCCCTAATGGGTCGTATAGAAATGATTTATGTGCCAGTGAAGGATATGATGCCAAATGTAGTCTCTAACCCTAGAATCATGACACGATACACATTTATGTCTCCCCTGGAGGAAATCCTATTTGGTCCACTGATCTGTAAAGTCTCCTGTACTCTCCCCTGGCCGAAGGACCCCAAAAGAGGGTGGAGAAGGAACCAAGGAAGGTGGAATAGAACATTCCACTACCCAGGATCAAGTGTTTATTAATCATGTAGAAAAAAGTAGCAGGAGCAAAGAACACTGCTTTCAGCCTGTTTCTAGCTAGAATAGTATGTAGTAGTAGCAGCAGCAGTAGTAGTAGTAATAGCAAAATAGTGACTCAGGCTAATTGACTATGCAAGACATGCCCTGTGGAATCTGATTGTAAGCTTCAGGACTACATTAAGGACACACTCATTATATGCATCTGGAGGGGGATACAAGAAACAGGTCCCAGTTTGAGTTAAACGTTGGTGCACTCTGTTGTGGGACTTGGATTCAGAACAAATAGTACAGACTTTACACTCAAGCCATTGGGAAGCCCCTGGAAGAATTTTGCCAATACAGTGATTACAGAGAGAGCTACCGTAAGTACCGATGTTCCTACTGTGAAGAGAATACCACATTCTTCACTGCAACTTCAGAGGTGAATGTGAAATATCAGTCCTGGAACCAAGGGATCTTTCTGCCTTCTTGGCACCCATTGCCCAAATTAAATAAGATAGGGCATGTCTCACATATGGGATAGCTGTGGATGTATGGGTCCCACAGAAAGGCAGTGGCAAGCTCAGGTCTCTTGACTACCAGGTCAGTTCATATTCAGCCCTGGCAATTCAACATATTGTCTGTTCTCTAAGTTATAGCAAGTCCCTCTAGAAGTAGCAGGAAAATATGTCTAAAGTGAAAATTTCCAAACCTGTGCCCTCTGGTGGCATAGTCAGACAATGGCACAGGTTGTTATCTGCTGTTTCTGACTCACATGAGCTTTGCTAGAAACTATTAATAACTCCAGGCCTTGTCTCTGACATATAAGAAAGGCACGCTTCCCCTTGCAGCTCCCCTTGCACTATACTATGCTATGGAGTCAGAAGCACTACACTTATACTCCTGTCGTGTCTCTGGTATGTAGTAATTGTAATTTGAGGCAATTTATTTAATACCTATAAACTTCAATTTCCTCACCTCTGAAGTAGAAATAAAAATAATCCCTATATAGTGGTTTTTGTCTCTAGTGAAATTTAAAGTTATATATTAGTCTGTTTTATGTGACTACAACAAAATTCCCAACTCTATGTAACTTTATAAGGAAAAGAGATTTATTTAGTTCACAGTCCTAGAGGTTCGAAGGCATAGAACCAGTATCATTTTAACTCTGGTAAGGACATTATGGAAGATAATCCTTTAATAAGTAACCACTTTTCCACTTGATTTGCCTGGATGCTTGACCCTGAACCCTAGTCTGGTGATAAATGAGGGGATGTCATTTTACCTACAGGTATAGAGAAAATTATGGTTGTGGGATGGTGAAATCAGAACAGTTGACCTCTTGTAATTTAAATCTCACAGAGAAAAAAAACTACTGGGTCTTTTTAAAAAGGAGAAACAGCTTTATCAAACCAAGAGAAAGATTGTTTCTGCTGGCAAGGGAGGTTCAGTGGGGATTTGGTGTTGAAGTTCTTTTAGTTCTTTCAGTTTCATTATGCATTAGTTCTCACTACTTTTTATTTGATTGAACATTGATAAAAGTGACCAATCAATGCTGGGAAATCAATAAGTTCTGTAATTTGGTTAATCATAGAATCAAATGCCAATATAAAATTTAGCTTAATTAGCCCTCCAGTCGCACTTAAAGAAATTCTATTTTCATATTGTGTCGTTTTAATATATTCCTTGAGCAATTGAGTCAAAAACTTAAGCTATTGAGCTTGTCATTCTTCTTCAAAGCTTTCTTGTGCCATCAGAATCTTCTACTTTATCACACAATGTTTGAAATCCTTATTTTTTCATATTTATTATGGAAGCAAGGAGATAGTACGATGCTGTGCTTTCCAAAGGATATCCATTTCAGAAAACCACTTAGAGTCCATTACATGGGCTGTCATATTCTCTTTCGAGAACACAAATGGGGTTTTCAACTGGCTTTAGCTCTCCTAAGACAGATAATCAACTTCAAAGTGCCACAATTTCTTCAACCTCATAATATCAATGTCTGTATATTTTATAGTACTTGGTTTCAAAAGCATGAACATCTATCAACTAATCTCAATATAAAAGAATATTTCCTGGAGGATATTATTCTATACAATTTTAACAGGAATTTCAAAGAACTTTGCTCACTTTATACAGGAGTTGGAAAGAGAGTTATAAATCTACTCTGATTCATGGACATTGGTTAACGGTTTGGATGGATATCCCTTAGAAAGCTCATGATTGTGAAAAAGTAAATAGGTGTGGAGAAGAGTCATACATGTAGATCTCTGCAAATGGGCAGACTTTGATGATGTATGTGCCCTACGTGAATGTTTACTAATAAACAACCTCAGTAGAGTAAAAGTTTAATAATTAGGTGACTAACATGATGCATTCTGTGGATGTCTGTCAGTCTGTTTTCCAAATACTCTTGTCCTTGCTCCATGGGCTCATGAAGAAAGGGTTCATGTAATGAAATTTAAGCATGGAATCAGAAACATGGACCTACACTCATTGAGGTTGATGTGGCTATAACCTCAGCAGATAACAATACCGAGATTCCTATATGGCACAGTTCCTCATTAGAAATCAGTACAAAAATTCCTATATGGTACCAGCATTATAAACCAGAAGCTGATTGTTTTTAACTTTATTACTTCCATCATGGAAGTTCTCATTTTGTTCTCACAAGAATACACAATGACTCTAAATGTAGCTTTACTCTCTGTGCCTGCAATACTCTCTGTGCCTGCAATGTTCAGGACAAAACTTACCAGCTGCTTTATCCATTGTTATGGTATTCTACACACTGTACATTGTGACTGAATAATTAATGTCATGCCAAAATATGGTATGAGTTCATACTGATGAAATTCACTTGCCTTGTCATGTCTCCCATTACTCTAAAGCAGTTGGTTTAATAAAGATTGTAATGTCTTTTTAAGGACTCAGTAACAGATCCAATTACTTGACAATATTTTAAGGGCTAGGCCATAACTTCTGTGAAGTGGAATATAATCTAAATCAGTGTGCAGAATCTGGTGCTATATCTCCCATGGCCTAGACTCACAAATATTGTGGGAATCCAAGATTGATAATGCACAGTCCTTTTCACTATTCTCCTAATGAGTCGCTAGGAAAATTCTTGATTCTAACCCTGTGACCTGGATCTTCTTGATGCAACAGTCTTAATTCAAATGATTGCTTCCATTACAGGTTGTAGCAAAAGCTGCAATAAATTTGTGCTTCAGATTTCCACTTGACACTTTGGACAACCAATTCCATTCAACAAATAAGAAAACACTTGAACTATAGTAGTGTTATACTGATAAATATTGAATACCAAGAAGATGTTTCATTGCTACATAAACTGAGGTTCAGTACTGCCAGTGTTCATCAGGGATGCCTCTTGGCAATCTCAAACCCTAAAGCTAAAGACAATGAAGAATTACAGCAACCTATAGAAGCAGGAGTGCTAATGGCTAACATACTCCAGAAATGAAGATTGTGTCACCCAAACAGGTGGGGAAACTTGGCTAGCTAATGTGTCTGTTGAGGGCAAAAAGAGTATGGAAGGATTAGTAGAAGGTAGTTAGGAGCAGGTAATTAAAGCCCAAATTATGACTGCATGAATTTTTGCAAAATCCAAAACTGTAATAATTATAAGTATTATTCCTACATTGATAGCAATATATCTATATTAATAGTACCCATGTTCTTTTGCTTTTCTATTCCCATGTTCCTTTCTATTTACATAGAATGTGTTAATTGTATTTAATTTGGTATGTGTATTAGTCAGCTTTTCATTGCTGGGATTAAATACTTGACATAGAAGAGTTAAAGGAAGAAGGGTTTACTTTGGTTGGCTCAAAGTTTCAGTCTATGATTGGCTGGATCTGATGGAGAAACATCATGGCAGAGGATGTATTAAGAGGGAAGATGCTAACCTTACCCCATAGTAGTTAGGAAGTACATAATGAGGAAAGGGACCAGAGACCAGATATGCTTTTTAAGGTCATGGCTACACAAACTACCCAGCCACATCCAGAAATGGTCTTTATTAATCTAGATGTCTCCTAAGCTAATTATGTTGACAGTCAATATCAATGGTCATAAGTATGATAATGTACAAGTTGCAAGATGTCAAACAAGACTCAGAGGAAGAATGACCTTCACCCAAAGACAGATAAAAGGATATCTTAATTCACTTAGGCTGCCACAACAAGATATCATAAACCAAGTGGTTTTAAACAAAAGGCATTTATTTCTCAAAGCTCTGGAAGCTGAGAAGGCCAAAATCAAGGTACTAAAGGATCCAATCTGATGAGGGAATGCTTTCTGGTTCATATGAGGTGCCTTTTGCACATGTTCTCATGGTGGAAGGAGTGAGCCATAATCCCCAGGCCTTCTGGAGAAAGGC